CGTCGGTTTTTGGCAAAACTTCCCGAGCTTCGTTCTCTCTCCTCCAGCCACCAAATCGGACGAATTAGGTATGGATTTCTAGCTATTTTTCACGATTTAGCTGATGGTTGGGTAGGATTTGAGAGATTTTGAGGTTTGACAGATTTAATTTCGAGTTGAAATTCTGCCGAGTTTGAGAGCTCAGTTTTAGCCACTTCCAGTCACTTTTTGGCCTTAGTCCAAGAACAAAAGTGGTTCCAAATTAGGTGTTTTACCTGGGCTAGGAGTTTAGGCAGGCGATTTGGAGATTTTCTGGCCGTCAGAATTTACTATGCACACCCACGTGCTGCCGGCGCGTGACCCATGTATTTGGGACCACTCTTAGTCCTAGAATGATCCTCGTGTCCTCACAAGCGCGTAGGATTTCGCGGATCTCAATTCGGATAACGTTTGAACCCTGAACGGATCTCGCATAGTGTGTGATTTCTGGGTTCAGTACGTTCAGACCGTTGGATCGTAGTCAAACTGGAGTATGTCGATCTAGGTACTTTCAGGATTGTGTAGGATTCGACGGATTGTGAATCGGAGTCCCAGATACTCCGAAAAGGCCAACCCTAGGGTTAGTATTACGGAAAATCGTTCATTCGTCCTTGCGATCGTGCGATCGTGAGCAATCCGACCTTCCGATCGAGACCAAACTCTCGGGACATGTGTCGTAGGCATAGTGGGACCTCTAGGAGCGATCAGATTAGAATTCTGAGGTCGTGGACCCCACAGGGTCCCGAGTTGACTTTTTGGGACTTTATCTCTTTTGAGTCCCGAGTTACTACTAAATCATGCCAATTGAGAGGAAAGTTAATGTGGGCATAGGAATGACCTTTAAAAGAGATGCACGCACTTTTAGGAGTTGGGGGTCAGGGTTTTTATCTTAATATTATATTATTGAGCAGAGTTATTAATAAAAGATTATGATGGTTATTCAGGTACCCGGGCACAAGGAGACCCGCAGGAGGGACCTTCAAAAGGGTCCAGCTAGCTCAGAGCATCTGTGAGTGGACCTTTTGTTTTATAAATGGTTTTATGCAATTTAAACTTATTATTTGATCTTGAGTAAATTATGCATTTATCAAAGTTTTAATAGTTTCATGTATGCTTTTAAACGTTTTAATTTATATGCTGCCGAGTGATATTTCCTTAAGGATATAAAAATAGGAAATTCTAGTTAAGAATCAGGTTAAATGGCAGCAGAGTTTTAAGTAAACATGAATTCAGTTATTCATTAAATCTTTTCAGAATTATATATATATATATATATATATATATATATTTATTCTAAACCACCATAGGTACCCAAGGTTGCCTTCGATAATATGTTGCCTTTGGTTATAATGATGTCTACGGACATCCAGTTGCCTTCGGTTATAACGATGTCTACGGACATCCAGTTGCCTTCGGTTCTAATGATGTCGACGGACATCTAGTTGCCTTTAGATATGTCAGCATGCTTGACTTACGATCTGCGAGTCCTAAGAGGTACCAGGTACCGTGGGAGCGAGGTATGCGGATCAGGGCGACCAAGTGTCCCCTGAATTCTGCTAGGATTGCGGCTCGGGTGACTTTGTGTTTCCCGAGGTCTGCTAGGACGTGTCACTTCGGTGGCACGAGGATGGAATTGACGGATTAAAGGAATTGACGGATTATAAAGGATTTGACGGATTATAAGGAATTGACGGAAAAATAAATGGGTACACCCAAGTGGTAGATTAAAGTTGATTTCAACGCTTTCAAGGATTTAATGTTTTAATCAAGTGTGTGATTGTTTATATATATATATATATATATATATACGATTGCATTGATTTCTGTACGTATATTTATATAAGACTTAATGTTTGATTAAGCGTATGATTGGCTCTTAGACATAAATAGAAATGCATTGATTTTAGTACGAGTATAAATAAGAAAATGTTATAGTTTCATTACTGTTTTTACAGAGGGGTTAGTATGTTCTAATACTATTTTCTAAGCTTTGTTTTTGGGTCCACTCACCCTTTATATGTTTTGCGCCCCCAGGTAGTAAGCGTGCATAGAGAGCCACCACCGGGCCGAGTCCAGCTTCCGCCACTTCTCTTGTCGACGTAGGGTCTTGTATAATTATTTTATACCTGTAATCTTCTGTATAGAGCTCTGATATTGCCCTAGAACGTATGTTTAACTGTTAGAATGTAAATTTTTCCGTGCTGGCAGTTGGTGTCTTTATTGGTTTGCTTGTTGACAGGTGTAACTTTGGGATTGGTCTAGTTACAGGGGAGACTCTGCTGAAATTTCAGCAGAAGTCAAACCCCAGTTTCAATTAAATTTTTTAACTAGAAGGGCAATAAGGTCAATTGTGTCTGGCACCGCCAGGTGTCAGACACGCACAGGGTTCGGCTCGGATTTCAAAGTGGAATTTGGGTCGGGTCCTGTCAACTTGGTATCAGAGCATTAGGTTAACTTCCTGTAGACTCCGCACTATAGGTGCATCTCAGTTTTAAGGAATGTCAGTTCTTTTAACAGAATTATGGGCCCTAAGCGTGGTGGCACTAGGACAGGGACTAGACAGTCGTCCCAACTTCGGGAACAGAATCCCTCGCCCGAGCTAGAGGAATTTCCTATTTCCACACCAGTACTCGAACCGGTAGAGCAGGCATTTGTTGGAGGCGTTGACTCAGGCCCTATCCAGAACTGGGCAATCCGGAGATCCTTCTCCGAGCTTTGTAGATCATGTTAAGAGGTTAGGGGCCACCGATTTTGAAGGTGATGTTGGCCCAGCTGTAGCTGAGGAGTGGTTAGAGAGGATAAAGTGGATTATGGAGGTGTTAGCCGTTCCACACGATCACAGGGTGACTCTGGCCCCTTTCTTTTTGGCCAGAAATACTTGATATTGGTGGGAATCAATCAGGAGGAGATATCTGAACCCATCAACCATTAAATGGTCAGAGTTCAGAGCAGAGTTTGTTGTACAGTTTTATTCACTCGCATATCAGAATATGAAGATGGAAGGGTTTGTTGTCCACCGCCTCCCAGCCATCGTTAGCTGGACATCTCGCCGGAAAAAGCTTCGAAACCGTCGGTTTTTGGCAAAACTTCCCGAGCTTCGTTCTCTCTCCTCCAGCCACCAAATTGGACGAATTAGGTATGGATTTCTAGCTATTTTTCACGATTTAGCTGATGGTTGGGTAGGATTTGAGAGATTTTGAGGTTTGACAGATTAAATTTCGAGTTGAAATTCTGCCGAGTTTGAGAGCTCAGTTTTAGCCACTTCCAGTCACTTTTTGGCCTTAGTCCAAGAACAAAAGTGGTTCCAAATTAGGTGTTTTACCTAGGCTAGGAGTTTGGGCAGGCGGTTTGGAGATTTTCCGGCCGTCGGAATTTACTATGCACACCCACGCGCTGTCGGCGCGTGGGCGGCGCGTGAGCTAGGTATCTGGGACCAATCTTGGTCCTAGAATGATCCTCGTGTCCTCGCGAGCGCGTAGGATTTCGCGGATCTCAATTCGGATAACGTTTGAACCCCGAACGGATCTCGCATAGTGTGTGATTTCTGGGTTCAATACGTTCAGACCGTTGGATTGTAGTCAGACTGGAGTATGTCGATCTAGGTACTTTCAGGATTGTGTAGGATTTGACGGATTGCGAATCGGAGTCCCAGATACTCCGAAAAGGCCAACCCTAGGGTTAGTATTACGGAAAATCGTTCATTCGTCCGTGCGATCATGCGATCGTGCAATCGTGAGCAATCCAACCTTCCGATCGAGACCAAACTCTCGGGACATGTGTCCTAGGCATAGTGGGACCTCTAGGAGCGATCGGATCAGAATTCTGAGGTCGTGGACCCCACAGGGTCCTGAGTTGACTTTTTGGGACTTTATCGCTTTTGAGTCCCGAGTTACTACTAAATCATGCCCATTGAGAGGAAAGTTAATGTAGGCATAGGAATGACCTTTAAAAGAGATGCACACACTTTCAGGAGCTGGCACTACAAGAAAATGGGCCTTAGTTGACACTTCATAGTTGACGCTTTTTGCAAAACCATCACCTATTCTATGAAGCTGTGACGCTTTTTAAAAAGCGTCAACTACATAGTAGGTTTTCATGACGTTTTACAAGAAACGTCAACTATATGTCACTTTCCTTGACATTTAATAAAGAACGTCAACTCTTTATCACTTTTTCTTGACATTATATGAAAAAGCGTAAGTTAAAACCCTTGTATACTTGAAACTTTCTAAAAAACACCCTTAGAGACGAAAAGAAAAAGAGAAAAAAAAACAAAAGCTGATACTTTAAACAAGCTAGTTTCAGACCAAAAAAATTAAATAAAAAAAATAAATAAATGAAGATAGCATTAAGTTAGAGTACTGCTAAACGAACCCTAAAATTAAATGAGTACACCATATGATCTAAGTACACCCTAATATTTTAATCAAAATGTAAAATTAACTAAGTACACCATAAACAATTGGAAAGAAAATGGGGCTACAACTCCAACCAGTGAAAAGAAGAGAGGGCCAAATTGATTTAGAGAGAAACATAATCAAAGAAGTGACCCCAATAAGCCAACGTCAGTCTTCAAACCAAAATACAGTTACAGTTCTTGAGGTGGACATGGAAGGCCATCATTGTTAAGCACTAGTAATCTTGAACGAAGGAATTCGATGAGAAAATCTATATAGCTCATTAGGTGGTACTTGAAACAAGATAACCCCCATGATTCACTTTGCTGAAACAAGCTAACAAATCCTTTTACTGGCACCAAGCAACACGAAAGTTTATTTGCGTTTGATTACGGTTGAATATGGTGAGTAGGGTGTATTTATTAAAATTATTTTTGTTTCACAATTCAATATATCCTTTTTGGTCATTTTATATTAGGGTAAATTTGTAATTCAATAAATAATTTGATAGTAAGGTGTACTCAGTTAATTTTAGGGTTCGTATAGCAGCACTCTTAAGTTATTATTCTTCTCTTTCTCTTTTTTTTACCTCTCTCTCTCTCTCTCTCTCTCTCTCTCTCTCTCTCTCTGTTTTAAGTTTTTCATCACTCTTTGCGATTTCTCATGGTGTCCCAATAAAACCCTAATCTTTACTCTTACTCTCTCTCCGCAGGTACACTAATCAAACCCTAACCACTCCTATATTCAATTGGATTATTGTGTAAACACGATAAATATCTATGTGTTTGTATATTTCTGGCTTTTTAGGGTTTGTTTGATTTGGTTTGGGTTTTGTGGATCTGCGTGGTTTGTTGCAGAGAACAAAAAGGACTGAAATTTGAACGAGAAATTGGGAACTAAGGATAGGAATATATATCCTTCAATCAATCAAGGTCGGATAAGAACGAGATGCAGTATCGGAAAACAGGGCGATCCGCAAGCTCTAATCAGCAGCACAGGGGATACTCACCCGTGTACGCTAAGGGCACCGCCGCCGGCGCCGGTGGGCCCGCCCCTTCCATCTCCTCCAATCGCAGGTGCTTATAGGTGTATTATATAGAGTTATATATAGATGTGTAGGGTTTGTTTGTTTCTGATCAGTTTCAGTTTACTTTTAATAATCTTTGCAATTGAATTGCTTTGGACTGTGATTCTTAATTTGGGGTTTTTTTTCTTCTGTGTTTTATTAATAATGAGGTTGTAGGAAATTAGGGTTTGCTGATTTTTATTTTAAATATCCAGTTTTAAGAAGAATAATAACAATGCACAAGGAGCGCAGTCCAGGGGAAGTGTAACCACTGTAAGAGAAAAAGAAAAAGATGCGATTGTGGGCGGGGACTAAAAATAAAAGCGGGATCTGATTTTTCACAAGTGAAACCCCAATTTTTCAAAAGCTCCCTCTCTTTCTCACTCGCACTCACACTCTCGCTCTCTCTCTCTCTCTCTCTTCTCTCGTTCCTTCTCACTCTCACAATTTCTCTCTTCTCTTTCACTCTTTCTTTCTCACTCTTGCTTTGCCTCTCTTTCTCTATCGCTGTGGCTAGCTCGTGCTCTCTTAGTGGCTCGCTCACCCCTCGCTCAGTCTCTCTTCCTCCATTGTAAGCCCTAATTATGTTTTTTGTAATATCTATTTTCGAATTATATAGAAATTGGGGAAGTTTCTGAAATAAGAATTTCTAGGTCTTTTTCTAGGAGTATGATTTGTTTTTTAGGTTTAATTTTTTAATTTTTATGGATTTTAAGTTGAAGAGTGTGGTAATGGTGATGCTTGTTATTCTTTTCTCGGTCATCCAGTTTTAGATGGAGCCATTTACACTTATCTAGCCTTTGCTCTATCTTTTACTTATCTGAATTTGTATACATCCAGTTCTTTGCATAATTTCTACTTTTTGAGGACTCTTATACCAAATTGGAAGAGCACTTGAAATGTTTGGTCTGCTTTCATTCACTGACATGAATTCGAGGTCTATGGGTGTTCAATTTTTTTTATGTATCCAAGGTTCTATTGCTTGCAAAAGGGACTGTTGTTCAAATCATTTATAAAACTAACTTTTCATTTTGATGCATGTCTCTTCTTGTTTCTCAGCGTTTTGGACAGAGTTGGGGTTAGATTCTTCTTTTCATGCTGGGTACTATTGTTGTTGATATATTTTTCATGAAATTCAGTTCTGTTATTTGTTTTTTATTTTCCAAGGTCTTGCTGGGAAGGCAACAAATCAATATTATGAAAATGATTTGAGGTAATCCCTAATGCCTTACAGGAAACGTATTTATTTCTCACAATTTATTATGTTTTAGATCTGGTTCCATTTCCTCTTTTAATTTTAGTTCTCATTCTTTTTTTTCTTTTTCCTTTTTTGCAAAGTTTTCATTCTTTGTTGGGTCCAACAAGTATATGGCTGAGAATTGAAATTGTTTGCTCTTTTTAGAAAATGCAAAATTAGCTGTTTTGGGATTTTTTCAATGAGCTGTTAATTTTATTTCAGAAATAAGTTTTCCACTTTTGATTTTTTATTTTAATAACGCAAGATTTTTTTCACTTTTGTTTTTTTTGCAGATTTTAGATTATGCAAATGTTGTAGCTGACATTCATGCAGATGCTAATCTAGGTATCACTCAAGGTAATGCTTTAATATTTTATATGCCTTAAGACAGGAAAATCTTGAAGAGTGAGTATATGAGATGGCGAAATTGAATAATCCCTTTCTTTTCACTTCAGCAGTATCTAATTGCTTCCAAATCACCAACAAGCTAAAGTGTAAAAACTCTGTTCAGTTTCAATGACGATTGTGTTGTTGAGGCTTGAGAGTTATATTGTTTCTAAGCAGATTAAATGATATTATGTGTTGGTTTTGGGATTTCTCAATAGGGTCGTTTCTTGTAACTTGGCATTCTCTTCTACTGAGAAACATTCATGCATTTGCATAAATGAATGCTTTTATGTAGAGGTTATTGTTGTTATAATACTCTCTGTGCCAATATTTAAGTTGGCTTTTAATTTTCCAGTTCGTGTGCTTGTACCCAACTTTTGCATGAAGAAGAAAGCTCAGGGAATTGGATTTATGCTTTTTGTGCTAATTGTGTTGATAATTTGTCCTGCTGGTAAGAATTTTGAGTTTAATCTCATTATCGAATTCCAAATAACTTTCTAAACAACACAAATTGGAGTTTCCTCTCAAGTTCTTCTCTGCATTTGAACCAAAAGAAGTGGGCATTTATATTTGGTAATGAATATGTGCATGATATGAGACTTTATTGGTGTTGGACAAGGTTGATGTGTTCATTGGTTGTATCTCTTAATTCTTTAAATTCATGTCTTACCTATACTGGCAGATTGATGTGTACATGGAGGCTTAAACTACAAAGACAAGTGCTACGGAAAGTCAAGCTTCTAAGTTAGAAGTTCTACGTTTTATTATACTAGACAGTTTGGTTTATTTCAGCATGTATTGTTTTCAATGTAATTTTTTTTTATGTTTTTGTAATATCATTTCTCAAGATAGTTAACACGTTATTACGAGTTTTTGAATGTTTGTACCTCAATATTCTATTTTAGTGGATATTAAATTTCAGATTGTTATTTTTTTAATATATTCATTTAGCTACTAAATTCTTTGAAACTTTAGTTGTCTAGGAAGCTTTTTTTTTATTTTTTATTTATTTTTTTAAATTTTAGTTCTACAACTCTTGACGGCTAAGAACCGTCAAGAAAAATTTATTAAATGTCAGGAAATATATTTATTGATACTTATTAAGCGACAAGAAAAGCTTTCGTTGACGGTTTTTCACTAATTCGTGACGCTTTTTACCTGTCAGGAAACACTATTTCTTGACGGATAATAAGCATCAAGTAAGGTGGTACCCTTTCCTGACAGTGGTGTCCCTGACGCTTTTGGAACCATCATCTAATGGCTATAGTGACGCTTTTTAGCCGTCAGTAAAGGGTGTTTTTCTTGTAGTGTGGGGGTCAGGGTTTTTATCTTAATATTAAATTATTGAGCAGAGTTATTAATAAAAGATTATGATGGTTATTCAGGTACCCGGGCACAAGGAGACCCGCAAGAGGGACCTAGAGTGGGGTCAGGGTTTGGCTCGGATTTCAAAGTGGAATTTGGGTCGGATCCTATCACATCCCACCACATTATGATGTTGCCCAAGTTTTGGGCTCGATCCGAACTCAATAGTTGTAAGAAATTGGACAATTTATGTTCAAAGGCAGTTCGCTCCTAATAGGACTCGTTGGTGTATTCCATAATTCTAGAGATCGGATTTCACTCAAAACTAACCAAACGACTCCTCCCACCATATTATGATGTTGGCCAAGTTTTGGGTTCGATCCGAAATCAATAGGTGTAAGAAATTAGACAATTCAAGTTGAAAGGCAGTTCGTTCCTAATTGGAGTGGTTGGTGTTTTGGGAAGTTCTAGAGACTGGATTTCACTCAAACTTAACCAAATAACTCCTCCCACCATATTATGATGTTGCCCAAGTTTTGGGCTCGATCGGAAATCAATAGGTGTAAGAAATAGGACAATTTATGTTCGAAAACAGTTCGTTCCTAATCGGAGTGGTTGGTGTATTCCATAGTTCTTGAGATCGGATTTCACTCAAAACTAACCAAATGAATCCTCCCACCATGTTATGATGTTGCCCAAGCTTTGGGCTCGATCCGAAATCAATAGGTTTAAGAAATTGGACAATTCATGTTCAAAGGCAGTTCGTTCCTAATTGGAGTGGTTGCTGTTTTGGGTAGTTCTAGAGATCGGATTTCACTCAAACTTAACAAAATGACTCCTCCCACCATATTATGATGTTGCCCAAGTTTTGGGCTCGATACGAAGTCAATAGGTGTAAGAAATTGAACAATTCAAGTTCGAAGGCAGTTCGTTCCTGATTGGAGTGGTCGGTGTTTTGGGTTGTTCTAGAGATCGAATTTCACTCAAACTTAACCAAATGACTCCTCCCACCATATTATGAAGTTGCACAAGTTTTGGGCTCGATCCGAAATCAATAGGTTTAAAAAATTGGACAATTTATGTTCAAAGGCATTTCGTTCCTAATCGAAGTGGTTGGTGAATTCCATAGTTCTAGAGATCGGATTTCACTCAAAACTAACCAAATGACTCGTCCCACCATATTATGATGTTGCCCAAGTTTTGGGCTCGATCCGAAATCAATAGGTCTAAGAAATTGGACAATTAATGTTTAAAGGCAGTTCGTTCCTAATCGGAGTGGTTGGTGTATTCCATAGTTCT